CAGACCAAACAGCAGAAAAAATTCTCTATAAAATCTTCTTTATTCATAGTATCGGGGATAGCCGTGTTAGTCTGTATCCACAAAAACAACAAGCAGTCTGGTGGCACCTTAAAGACTAACAGATTTATTTGGGCATAAGCTTTCGTGGGTAAAAACTGAAAAAGTGGGTTTTTTTACCCATGAAAGCTTATGCCCAAATAAATCTGTTAGTCTTTAAGGTGCCACCGGACTCCTTGTTGTTTTTACCTTATTCACAGACATAGAATTTAAGGTCAGATGGGACCATTACATCATCTTGTCTAATCTCATGTATATCACAGGCCATTGTCAACCCATATGTCAACCCATTACCCCTGTATTGAACCCAATAATTTGTATTTAACTAAAGTATAAACTTGTGTTTGGCTAAAGCATACCTTCAAGAAAGTCATTCAGTCTTGATTTGAAAGCGAAGTGATGGAGAAACCATCATTCACTTGGTAGTTTGTCCCAATGGTCAATAACCCTCACTATTAAAAATGTGTGCCTTATTTCTAAAGTGAATTTGTCCGTCTTCAGCTTCCAGCCCTGAGTTCTTGTTATGCCTTCCATGCTAAATTAAAGATCCCATTGGTACCTGGTATAGTCTCCCCATGAAGATACTCATACACCATAATCAAGCTATCTCTGGGTCTTATTTTTGATAAACTGAACAGATTGAGCTCTTTTAAATAGTTCATTGTAAGGCATTTTTTCCAGCCCTTGAATCATTTTTGTGGCTCTTTTGTGCACTCTCTCCAATTTTTTAACATCCTTTTAAACCTTCTAAGGACTTTTATTTGTTTGTTTGTTTGTTTCCCTCCCTTTTTCATTATGTGATTTTATTTATTTGCTTTAGAAAGACAAAGATACGGTAGCATATAAAAAGGGTATTTTGTTTGTACATATTATACTTCAGTCTCAATATCAGCATAAACTTGAAGGGCCAGATCTCAAGCATTGTGGAGTTATGCTGATTTACACCAACTGAGGAACTATAATGGAATTTTTACTCCCAATGTTGATAAAAGCTAGCTTTGGGGGTATTCTCTCTGTGAAAAGGGGCCAGTTTGCGTTACGGAGTGCATGTGTGCATGCACCCATACAAAGATTAAGCAATTTATTAAAACAGCTTTTTTTGTTTGCTTCCCCTGGTATCTATATGACCAGCTTGTTCTTCAGTGTCAGTGCAATTGCTTTTGAAAATTGTTTTTGCAAACTGCAGATTTATGCAAATCTCTATTTTTTATTTTAAATAAGAGAGAGCTGTTTATCCACTCTGCAATGATGTGTGCGGAATAAGTGCCTCCAATAATTTTCTTTGGCCAAACACTGCTTGCCTTAGTTACAAAGATGGGCTCACTGAAGTCAAAGGGACAAAAACTGTCCTTTGACAAGTGTGTAACTCTCACTGAATGAAAGCAGGGTTGTATGCATGCATCTTAGGGCAGAACTTAGCTCAGTGGGACAACTCACATGAGTTGAGATGAGTAGGATTTCACCCATTGCAAATATGGATATGTTCAATCACAGTGGACTTCAAAAGATGTTGTGGGTTCTCTAAAGCAATCCATTATGACCCAATCCTCCTTCCATTGAATTCAGTGACATTCACAATAGTTACTCTTGGCTTCACAAAGTGTCAACTCTGGAATTTTTGATTTCCTTTCTGCCTGGTCTATTTTCTCTTTTGTGTATAAATAAATCATTTTTTTTCACATTTTCTCTTTACCCTGCCAGGGTAATTGGAAGGGCTTCAGCAAGGCACATTGTTCTAGCTTATTGTGTGAAAATGACTAAAAGTGTTAGTTCAATGTCATCTTCAAATATCTTTCAGTGGCTGCTTAAATCACTAGCCTTGTATAACATAGTTTCTGGCTATTCAAAAGCCCTTGAAAAGGTTGCTCCGTGTTGGTATTTCATAGTATTGAACAGGAAATAAACTAAGACTTCCATCCTGAGCATTGTAAAGAGCTAAAAAAAGAGAAAAAGTCACCTACACCAGAATTTTGCAAGTTTCTTTTGGGCAACATGAACAATTCATTGAAGTGACTATTGGTTACTGGCTCCCTAACTTTGTGGGCAGCTATTCAATATGTTGTCTGGATAGACTAGAGATTTCTTTGAGTAGACGAGGCTGGGGTTCAAAGTTAAAGGCAATGACAAATAGAGACCAAAATGTGTCTAATTAAACTCTCTACCATTTCCCCGCTCTGACACCGAGATCCTAGTAAACTCAGGAACAGCTTTCGAAGCCAGTGAGGCCAGAAATCGGAAGGGAATCAATCTGGCCAGATTCCAGCCAATGATTGTCAGTGCCTCAGGTTTCGGGTGCCCCAGGCGGGACCCATTAAAGCGGGCCTGACTTTTAGGAAGTCCTGAGCACCTGTCCTCTAAAATCACCCGTGGCCGGCCCCTGGCTGCGCTCAGGCGAGGGCTGAGATACGAAGCGGTTTGAAATAACAGCCCGCCTCAGGCCGAGCGCACTCACTGCGGGCGGGAACTCCGCTCCCCGCCGCGCGCCTGGGCTGCTTCAGCGCCGAGCGGGGCCGGGCTGGCCGCGCCTCTGCGCCCAGCTCCGTCCCCCCGCCCTCCCGCCAGTCCCCGCCTCCCCGCCGGCCGCCCGCTGGAGGGGACAGGGCGGGGGACGCAGCCCGCCCTGGAGTTGCTCCGGCAGCTCGCGCCGAGGCTGCAGAGCGCGACTCGCCTTCCCAGCCGGCGGTGCCCAGCGAGCGGCTTCCCGGGTGCGCCCCAGCCCCGCCGCGGGACGGGCAGGGATGGCGCGTACCTGAGCCCTGCCGTGCCCTCCGCCCAGCGCAGCAGCCATGCCCGGAGACTTGCCCTGGCTCAACCTCTCCAGCCGCTCGGCGGCGCTGGGCAACGCGTGCGCGGCCGGCGCGGGGCAGCTGCTTCAGCACCACGGCCAGTTCTCCGCCGGCCTCTCGGTGCTGCTGGCCGCGCTCATGGGGCTGCTGGTGCTGGCCACCGTGCTGGGCAACGCGCTGGTCATCCTGGCCTTCGTGGTGGACCGGAGCCTCCGCACGCAGGGCAACTTCTTCTTCCTCAACCTGGCCCTCGCCGACCTCCTGGTGGGTGAGTTCCGCCCCCAGCGGCGCGCCCGCGGGAGCCGGGCCCCGGAGCTGGTTGGGACGGCCAGGGGCCTGGCTGGGACCCCAGGGCGATCCTGAGCGCGCGGAGAGCCAGTCCCTGGGCCCTGCAGCCGGGGTGGGGACCGGCCCCGGGCCCGGCCAGGGGGCGGGGCAGCACTGTGCCCAGCTGGGGCTGGAACAGGTTAACTCCCGGGGGCAGGGCGAGTGCAGCCCCCACCTCACGCCACCTTTCCCAGGGGGATAGGCGCCCAGGCTGTACGCTGGGGCTCAACCACCAGCCAGCTGGCATTAAACGTTTGGGTCCTGCCCCGCTGGAAGTGCCGGGCGGGTTAAAACAGGAGTACGCGGAGCGGGGGAGGGGGGCAGGTGGCGTCGTGCGGTGCTGAGCTCTCTGCCCGCAGGTGGCTTCTGCATCCCGCTCTACATCCCCTACGTGCTGACGGGCGAGTGGAAGTTCGGCAAGGGCTTGTGCAAGCTGTGGCTGGTGGTGGATTACCTGGTGTGCACCGCCTCCGTCTTCAACATCGTCCTGATCAGCTTCGACAGATTCATTTCCGTTACCAAAGCGGTAAGGGACAGAGCCTGAACCCCGGCCCTGCCTGGAGCTCCACGCCCCTCGCTGCAGCAGCGCTCAGCCTGGAGGTTAAGGGGAGACTCCTAGGTTAAAAGGGATAAGATCGGACCCGCTAATAAAGGCAAAGGAGAATGCGGGTTTTGAGGCTGGTCAGCACGGTCTGCATTACCACTGCTTGCCAACCGTGCTCCAGCCAACTCACGGGGACTGAATGCTACCTTAGCAAAACAAAGCAAGGCTTAAATTGATTTGGTTTGAGTCTTCAGTTTAGGAGGAACTGAATTTTAACAGTTCACAGAGGGATGCAGATTAGTTGCCTAGAGGCTAGGTTAGAACAAGGGCAGGGAAGTCACATTCACAAGCAGTTGTACTTGTCTGTGCAAGGCATGACAAATACTAATTAAAGGCCACAACAAGCATGTGAAGCAGGGAAGTTCCATCTCCCTCATTTTATAGCAAGTCAAGGACCAGCATAGGATTTCAATTCAGGTTTCGGCCCCCACACGCACCCACACCTGTGACCATTGCTATAGCCCCCACTTCCCTCAATATTTGGGCATTCATTGAAATACACATTGTGGCGTGAGAGTAGTCATTTTGCAGAAATAGCTTGCACCTCTTTGCATGGCAGTTTTCCTTTTATCCTTCACGGCATTGCTTTTATTTCTGATTTTGTTTGAGGAGACAGTAAGATTTCCCAAAATATTGATTTTAAATCCATTGTTTATTACAAGTCACAGACTGAGGTAGTAAGACAGGTGGGGAACTAATAATTTTTAGTGATCATAGCCTGTCATACCAAAATTAAGCATTACAGCCTTTCCTACAGTTTAGTAAGCGTTTACATAGGTGTTCTGTAAACTCAACTCATCACTTGAAAATGAAATTTAAGTTACTTAACTAATCCCACAGGAGAAAATATAAAAACTAAGAACAAAAATTCACTCCCACAATATCCTACAAGCAGGCATCATAGCTACTACAACGAAACACATGCAACCTCTAACTGGGGCTAGAAATATGATCCTTTCCTCAAGAATACATGTGTTTTGTGCCGTCCACAGCTCTTAGTAATGGTGCAAGGTGCAATTCTTTGTCCACAGAATATGGACAATCAAGCAGCTGGAAGGGTGCCTATTTTATTAAATGGTGGGTGTTGGAAAGGAAGTTGCAGGAATGACTTTGGTTTGTTACAAAAATGAAACCTTTTCTTGCTAAACACACTAAGTGTGTCCAGCAGGTACAACAAAAATAAAACAGGAATCCTTAACATTGTAGTTATAGGTTATTGAATTGTTCTGGGGTGTATGAACATAATTTGTTATGTTTTTCATTGCTTAGGTGAGTTACAGAGCTCAGAAGGGGATGACTAGAAATGCCATATTAAAGATGATAATCGTATGGATTGCAGCTTTTCTTCTCTATGGACCAGCCATCATCAGTTGGGAGTATATTGCTCAAAAAACTATCCTGCCTGAAGGAGAGTGCTATGCTGAATTCTTCTACAATTGGTATTTCTTAATGATTGCTTCCACTATTGAATTCTTTACACCTTTCATTAGCGTTACATACTTTAACTTAAGCATTTACATCAACATCAAGAAGCGCACTCCCATGAGAAATGAAAACCTAGCACCTGGTCAAGAGGACTGTGAAACAAGTTTCCAAGGGAAAAAAAGAGAGCATGTAATATTTTTTGTAAAACCTACTGACAGACAGAGAGATAAGAAAAGGAGAGCTAGTAGCCTTTCACCCACTAGACCCTGCGGTTCAAGGCTCAGCCTATGTAAACTTGATAACCAGTCCCTAGATTTTAATGTCGGTCAAGATTTACCACCCTTACAGGTGGATGTTGAGACTAAACAACCCAGGGGCAGTTTTTACAGAGCTATAGAAAACGTTTGCAACGCTACAAGAAGAACAGACATTGCCAACAGCATGGCAAACAGAGTTAGACTTTCCCGGGACAAACGAGTAGCCAAGTCTTTAGCAATTATTGTCTGTGTGTTTGGTTTGTGTTGGGCTCCTTATACACTTCTGATGATCATTAGAGCAGCTTGTCATGGGCAATGTGTGCATCATTCTCTCTATGAGACTTCATTTTGGCTTCTGTGGCTGAACTCAGCCATTAACCCGGTTTTATACCCACTATGCCACATGAGCTTCAGAAAAGCTTTTATAAAACTGCTGTGTCCTGGTAAGGCTAAAATTCATCCCCACATTTTTATGTAAAAATGTGTAAGGAAAACAAGCATGTTATGTAGAAACACTACTTGCTTCTAAAAGGAACCTACTGGTGCTGCTTTGGTTTAGGTCCATGAATTAGGACTACCAATGGTTACTTTAAGTCAGGATAGGCTTAGAAGAATTTAAAGATCAATAAAAATATAGCTCTCTGATTTATTTGTAACAGTGCAATGCTAATGCATCACAACCAGAAAGTGGCCCTAGCTAGTCTGTTTCCATTCAAAGCAGAATGACATGCAAAAAGGCAAACAGCATTCCTATGAAAAAAGTAAAGTAAGAGTTTGCAAAGTCTTTCTCCTTTAATACTTTCAGGTGTTAACAGGTTAGGATTTTTTCTTAAAATATTATCTGTAACCTGATAAAATTCCCTGTAATTACTTTGCAATGATAAAGGGTAGATGACATCTGCAGGCCACAAAAATACAGAGTACAGAAAGTAAAAATACTGCAAGAATTAATGTAAGTTAAAATATAAAGTCTAGTTTGAAAAGATCTATTTTTCAGAAAGAAACTGATTAGATTTACAGTATTTTTATCCATCCACTGGTTTTATTCCTCCATTAAAATAATCAAACTGTACAGAGAAAGTTTAAGAAAACATACGCTGTGTGTGGATTTATCAATGTGTAAGCAATATTGCACCATTTATAAAACAACGCTGCACTAAGGACCGAATTAAAAATTCACTAAAGCTAATCATAGTCTCCCTTGGCTTAAGTGAGTTTTGGATAGGGGCCCAAATATCTGTGCGTGTTCTTATATAGAATAGCACACCTTCGAACTCTTGGGTAGAATGCCATACCTAAAAAACAGCAGCCTATTTTATACCTATGTACATCTATAAAACAGAGTTAAAACTAAGTGAATACAGAACAAACGCGAATGAATAAAATGCGTTTGGTAAGTAAGGGGAAGGTTTAACAGTTATTAACCCTGGATTGGGGGGGGGGGGGGAAGAGTGTATGTATGTATGTATGTATGTATGTATGTATGTATGTATGTATGTAGAGTAGGTTACTACTCTAAATATGAATATTGATGTGGCTTATTATTGGGCTATTGAGAGAAGAGATTAATAGAAGGAAGAAAAATGTGGGCAGAGAGTCTAATTTTAGTTTTTCTATTGTGTCATGTTAGCAGTCTGCTAGTACAGAGTCCAGCATAATATCAATGGGCATTAGGGTCAAAGGTGCAAAGAAATATAAACGTGCTCCAATTATGTGTGGTAGCATAAAACTATATATTTACCCTACAGGCATCTTTTTAAATCTATGAACAGTGCTTAAAGTGATACTAAAATGTTTTTATGAATCTCACTATCCACAATCATTGTCTCAAATAAAAATTAGTATTAGACTAAAATTGATTTCCTGCTACTGCAACATTTTAAGTCAATGAAAATATTTGTAGACAAACAGATATTGGTTGAAATTCATTTTTAAACACACACAAATCTTTCAAAGCCTAGTTATATACAGTCAGATCAGACACATTCAGTGAAAATCCAGGGAAACCTCCCCAAAATAAAAAACAAAGTAAAAAAATACAAACATCAAGTCTGAATCTTTCAAAACGTAAATCCTTTTGCAGATAAAAATGGTTTGCTTTTTTAAATACGGTGTCCAGTGGCCTATCAGAAAGTTACTAGTGTTAAGTGAAAATATTGATACATTAGGCCCAATACAAATCCTTACTAGTCTTTTACTCAAGTCCACTCCCATCTCATCCAGTAAAGACTGTTCTCCCCAGAATCTCTACCCTGGCGGGGCTTAGGAAATGGCAGTGGGAAGAAGAAAAAAAAGACATTGAAAAATATCTCCCCTTTTCTCAAATATTTGTAAGGGATACACTACCAGTCAAGCACTTACGTTATTTGCAGCAAATCCTGTCC